CATTAGACTACTTCCTGCTGATTAGGGGCATCACGTTCCTGGGGAAACGTTTGATCTTCACAGTCAGGATATCTAATTTCTTTTTGTTTTTGCTTCTTCTTTGTGCACTACAAACACCAACCAACAGCCCACCCCACCTCTCAGGGCCCTAGCATTTATATATGCACCTTCTGAAAAGTCCCCAGAACTCAAAGGTCACACAATTGGAGAAACCGTGTGCCACTGGCAAAATCATGTTCCTGTTAGAGCATGAGGCAAATCATAGTCAGCTGCTGTGGACGACCTGCAGCAGCTCCACATCCACTCCTGGGATTAAAATGAAAATGTATTCTTATAATATTTCTGTGTTTTTCAAAGAAAAACACAAAATTGTCACACTTTAGCAGGTACAGAAGAATATCCCTTTGGGAAGGGGCTTTGTTTCCCTTTCTGTGAGCAGCTTACCTTTTTCTGTTGTATGTATTCATTTTTGTTCAAGATTCCATTAAAAGGACTCCAAATTCCTTAAAGCTACTTGAGAATTAATTAGCTAGAAATTTCAATCTTGCAACATCTGTTTCCTCAATGCTGGTGGGGAAGACCACATGACCTTCACTCACTGCACACCCACCACAGCTCATGTCAGAGCAAAGAGACCTAAGTCACCCTGCTAAGTCCTGAGACACCCACACAGCAACCAAGTTGATGCAGCTGCACCTGTATGGCTTTTCCACACTAAAGCCACCCTGGGTGGGGCTAGAAATGCACCAGAAAGTGTAGGTCCTCCCTAACTGCCATCAACAAGTGACAGCCTTTATCTCTGTGTGTCCCAGCAGTGGTCTCAATTGCCTGCATATGAAGAGGATACAGGAGTCCTATAGGGAAGACCTACAGGGCAGCCATGGGAAGGGATCAAGAAGGATCAGGCTAGGGAAAGATAAAAAGACAGAGCAAGATAAAGTGAACCCGAAGAAGCCGGACAATGTTGTTCACTGGGGCCTGCTCTGTGATTGGTTGTTCACTGGGGCCTGCTCTGTGATTGGATCACACAAATGAGAATCTGAACAAGAACAGCCCTTTCACACAAGCCGTATTCATCGGTACCAACAGCCATCCAAAAGGCGCCCTCACCCACGTGGAAGGTGTAAAAAAATAAAGGTCTTCCACAGTTGGATATTTCTTCCACTTATAAAGCAGGAAAACCTGCTTTGTGCTGTCTGAACAGGACTGGTATCCGCATGTGTGCATATGAAAGTAGCCTTTCTAGCACCCTGCTACCTCATAACCTTATTCATCTCAGGGGACCTTAAGGAGCTTCGTCTGCTCTGCCGGTGGGTTTGCCTGTAAAGAATCCAAGCCTTGTTGCCCATCTTTAGCACAGTTACCACTTCTGTGCACCAATGTACAGGTGGGAACCCCTCCCTTCCTCCCCCTCCCCAGGTAGGAAAGCCCCATCATCCTGCCATAACATCAGGGTCCCAGTAATGAGAAGCATATGTTTCTAGCACACAGTTCATTAATTCTTATGTTTCCTGTAGCCTTCCCTCCCACAAAAACAGAAATCTTGGAAGATGCCTTTGCCAGGAACAGCATGATCAAATCCCAAAACATCGTCACACTTTTGTCAGACCCTGTTGTGTATTATGTAGAAGGTCTGCCGAAGTTAATGACTCTCCCCAGCTGGCTTCTCTCCCTGTAGTTTGAAAGGGGGACATCCCGGTTTAGTCCCACCGCTGCTAGGATAGCTTTTCTGTCGTCCACATCCAGCCTTTCTAGGAAGGATACTGATGCTGTTTGTTGGATTGTGCCTCTAGCATCCACTCAGTGTGAAAGTAAGTTCCTATTTGGATATATTTCTAGGTACTTGGTTATGATGAGAATTTTGGTTTCTTAATCACAGAAACATGGAATATTTTTATTTTAATCCCAGGTGTGGGATATGGGGATGATTCACTGTCCACAGCAGCTGACTATGATTTGTCTTGTGCTCTGTCAGGGGTGTGATTTTGCCAACTGCAGATAGTTCCTACAAGTGAATGTTTGAAGCTTGGAGACTCTTGAGAGGGTATAAAAATACTAGAGCCCCAAGAGGCGCAGTGGCGCCTTCTCCTGTTCCTGCTGCTGCTCGATGCTTGCTCATTGGAGACATCACAAAGATCAACATTGCCCCAAGGAATTCGACGTCCCTGATCATCAGGAAGTAGTCCTTGAGATCAGAGCAACACCCCTTCCCCCTCTAACCTTCTTTCTCTACTAACTAATGTTGGGAATTGGAAGGGATAAGGGTGGTAGAGAAGGGAACTCATACACTTAGTAGAAGACAAAAGGTATAAAATACATAGGTCAGCAGTCTCAGAGCTTGCAACACATTGGAGGAGATCAGACCTAAAACAACATGTGAATATATCTCTTGTAAAAATAATGATACAGTAAAAAACATTTCCTAGGAATGAAGAAATATAGAGTATGCAGATATATGGGAAGTTCTCCCCAAATTCAGATGTGCATCTTTTAGAATAGGGGAAAAGTATGCGAGGTTTAACCTACAACAGCAGTCAGTCATGAAGACGAGCTAGGCATGGCAAGCAGAGGGCACGGGACCACAGTTGGCCTTGATTTACACGTTCCATAGCCTCAGTGTTTATTCCAAGGTCTCCTGAGGCAGATGTGAAGCTCCCTCCCAGCTGTGGCCTATCCATGTTCACCTTGAACCTGTCTTTCCAGTCCTTGGTCCACTGCTTCATGCTCCTCCATGTTTCTCCTGAGTGACCTTGTCACCCTCCTGTCTCCCTCCCCACCTGTTGTCCTTACTAACAAGCCCTGCTCCACCACCCCAGGTGACACTATTCCCTTGACCTTCCAGAGTACTTTAGACATCTTTAGCAGATGGCCTTTCAATGTTGCACCTTCCAGGCTAGAACAGGGACCACTCAACTGGGCAGTGGGTATGGACTCATAGTGTTGATGATATCTCCACCCACTTGGCTTGCCTCATATGTAACTTGGAGGAATTTTTCAGGTCCTGAAGTGGATTCTTTTGAAAGAAGCATCTTAGGCAGAGTTGGTGGCTTATGAATGAACAGGAATTAGGACTCAGCTCCCAGCTCTGGATCCTGTTTAGCATCCGCCCCATTTGAAGAGCAGTGACTCAACCATCTAATCTGGGGAAACAGCCAACCGAAGAAGAATGCGTGGCTGCATCCTGGCTAATCGAAGATGCTGCCTGCTGTGCTGTTGGGAGAGCAGTGCGTGGGAGTGGGTGGGGTTTGTGAGTCAGGAGAGGATGGGGGGCGGGATGATGGGAGCAGCCGAAACTTACCCGTTCTCTACTTCTGGAGAAACGTCCTTGCCCAGCACAGAAACCCTCCTTTCTACTGTGTTCAGTGTCTTCTGTTCCCGTTTACTCAGAAGCCCCGTGAAACGACTGGTACTCTCAGGTGCTCTGTGATCTCTGAGTTGGCATGGTTCGTGACTCAGGAAATGAGTCCAAACTAGACAGCTATGGTCTCGCGCTTGTTTTAGAAACCTTTTAGCTTATATTCTGCTTCAGCTTGAACCAAAATCACCTACAGCCGTGATCTCGCAGGCAGGCCTGTTGCATTCGTACCTCATGAATGCAGAGCCTTGCTATGCCTGGCTGCCCCTGCCGTGTGCCACTGCTGTGAGAAGGAAAAGGGAGTGGGAAGTGGGAAGCACCTTTCCACCCACAGCATTTGAGTGTCGCCATAGCAACTAATAGTGCCTAGAAGCAGCCCGAGCCTTATTTTGTTTTGCTTTTTCCCCCAGTTTGAAAAATCTACTTTTGCCTCAGCAATATGTGACCCAGGAACTTGCGACATAGGGTCAACCGCTTGACACACTCGATCCAGCCAGGATCATCCATGTGGCAATTTCAGGTGGTCCATGAATGTAGGAATAGGGAGGGCTCAGAAACATCCCTGTGTGTGCAGCCTGTGCCACCATTGCTGGTTCAGGAGAGGTGTGCACAAGCCTTGGGGGTGTGGTGGGGAGGGGCACTTACCTGGCTGCCTCCCTCTTGGGCTTCTGACCACAGTGGGTTGTCACAGGCCTCCATACAAGGTTCCTGCTGGTGATCACTGTTGCCTTTTGAGCTAAGAAACAGTCCATTGGCCTAGAACTACTTTGTCTCCATCCTTGAGCCTTTGCCAGCAAGCTTGAGAAAAGAGCAGTGTCGCCAGTCTCCGCGAAGGTCTGTGGGAATGTTACATGGCACAGCAGCAGAAGCCGCCCCGCCTCGAGGTCAGGCAGATCTAGGTCCCTCCGTGCTGTGCTCACAGCACCCAGGCCTTGTGAAAGTTCTAAAACCCATCATTCCTCAATCTCCCCTTCCCCCAGGGAAATGAAATCATGTGTTACGCCACTGTTGTGAGAATCATAGATAATGAAGATAAGCCGTGTATCATGGTGAGCTAGCACACAGCAGATTTTCCTTAATGGAAACTTTTTAATATTATTGCCTGCCTACACCAGACTTACTCACCCAGGATATGGGAAGATGGCACTGATGAATCGATATTTTTAAATATAAGGCTGGAGGCGGAGTGTGCTTCAGTGACAGAGTAATTACATAGCATCCCTGTTGCTGCAAACACAGATAAGCCAATAAATCTTTTCTAAATTGTTGCGACCTAGCCTTAACTAGGATAAGAAATGTATTTACTTGCTTAAATGTAAATGCCACGAACGACTCTGGGCTCCCTTTTCCCACCTCTGCCAACCCCTAGCAGACTGCTGTCGTTGTTCTGACTCTTTGGAATCCAGGGCCTTCTGCGCAGATTTTCTGGTTGGAAAGAGAGGTGGGTAATAAAGTAACTGATATGCAGTTAGTTTATAACACAAAGAAAACCCAAGACTTTTTACAGAAAATTGCGTACAATCTGTAGGTGGTAACATGACTGACTGTCTGGCTATCCAGCAAGTTGTGAATGCGGAATTCAAGTGGTTTTTTATAAACATTCATGGCCATGTACCCTGATGAAGTTCTTTTCTGAACCCCACAGGAACGTGGCTGAAGAGTGGTCTGGGCCTGGTGCATCAGGAAGGCAGCCAGCTCACGTGGACGTACATTGCTCCCCAGCTGGGATACTGGGTGGCAGCCATGTCTCCTCTCATCCCAGGTAATGCAGAGCCAACAGGGCTGGCAATCTGGGTGGATTTCTTTGGGGGTCTGAGCATTCATTTAAATATAACTTCTATGGGCATTTCATGTTGTGTTCTTTTAGAACATCAAATGGTAAAGAAAGGCTATTTTGTGGGTGGGAAGTTGTGCCTGGAACTTTCACATGGAGGTCCGGCATAAGGCATGGAAGTAGTCCTGTCTCCAGTCCCATCTTGCTCAGACAGCTGCCTTTGGGAATTCTTAAATGAAAGTGTTCAGAGAAGGCTGGGACCTCCTCCCTGATTCCTGAGACAGCTGTGGCCTGGTGTATCTGTAAGCTTGAGGGTCAAGCTCTCAGCAAAAAAAAAAAAAAAAAAAAAAAAAAAAAAAAGCCCTCACTGGGGGCTTCTTAAGGCAAAATGCTTGGTTTAGCATTTCTGATCAGTTTAGTGAAAAGCCAGCTGTCTAATAGAGTAATCGTCACTTAGAATATGTAGATTGATTCCTGTTTAGGACATGATAAATACATGCATATATGTATGTGTATGTGTATATAGCTACATAGTTCTGGTGATATTTCAGAATAATATGCTTCTCATGAGAAGTCTTTCTAGTGATGCCTCCCATCACTGTCTTTGAAAGCCATGCCACTTGGACTGCCCACCTTGGAAAATCCACTCTCCTCAGCAGTGTTTATGCTAGGGGTACATCCGGAATTGTGTTTGTGTTGTTTTAATACATGTTAAAGCTCATGCATCTCTAGAGAGTTACATAATTGAGACAGGTTAAATACGAGCTATGATTAAAAGGAACTTCAGACAAAGTCACTATTGACGCATTTCCAGTGAAAACTCGAAATATTTTAGCAGTGAAATTAATGTCGAAGCGCTAGAATTCATGCTTCGACCTTGTAAGTAACTAGTCGGATGGAGCCATTCGTAGACGGTGTGGAAAGGCCTTCCATTCAGTCACCACATTCTCATCTAAGAAAGTATACTCTTCAGTGCTTTCCTCAAAGGAGTGACTCTCACAGCTTTGCCAGCGTGAGCCTGGCACAGAAGCACCTGTTCCCCTAATTTGAAGTACACAAAAGTAAACAAAAGAGAGAAAGAAACGAAATGCCTCAGGTACCAGAGTGAATGCCACAAAGTCCAGCCACCAAAGGGAAATGTTCTTAGATTTCAAACAACTGTGGCTGTCAATTTTCCCACCATGCAACAGATTAATATTAATATATGCCTTTATAAAGAGGAAACCAAGGGCTGCCCAGCACAGGTCCCCCGGGAGTTCTCAGGCCGTGAAAGAATAGGCTCGGGGCTGTAAGAAGCAACCCCACCACATGCCCAGCGGTGCACGTCATGGGGATGCATCATGGGTAATCTCCCCACTATCTCTTTTATTAAGATGCCTTTCAGTGAAGCTGTGCTTCCCTGGGCCCTAAACCAAGAAGAGAATGATTATGGTTTTGTTCCTTAATTCTCTGCTTAAGCAGAGTCTAAACTTTAAGCCGTGAGTTTTATGAAGATTTCTTTTGACACAGGCTAAAATAATTACATTCTGAGTGCGTAACAGACCTTGAGAATGGTTTTACAGGACCAAAGTCTCCCCCTGCCCTTCTCGTTCCTTCTGTGTGGAGGATCAAATCCAATGTCTTGGAATATTGTCTTTGTACTAAGACATCCTGTGTCCAGTTAAGGCAGTGTACAGACACCTATGTACACACTCAGCCCACTCTCCCGCCCTACTAAGTGAACTGTATTTGAGAGAATTCCATTCTCTTCTGGACTCAGGAAACATCACCAATCCCAAAACCCAGTGATCTTCCTTGGATTCATTTAGCTCTTTAAAAGATTTGAGCCAGACATGCTGGCTCGTCCAAGAGTAGTGGAGTAGAGGCAAAAGAGTTGCTGGGAGTTTGAGGCCAACCAGGTCAGCCAGGGCTTATAGTGAAACCCCAGGAAAGGAGAGGGAAGGGAACAAGGGAGAAAGGGAGGGAATAAAGTTTGTCTCCTTAAAAATAGTTCTAAAAAAAAAATCTGTCATTGAACATCAAAAACAAATTTTTAATAAAACAAATGGGTAACTTGTTTATAAATAATATGAAGCCACTGTGTCCCTTCTCCTGTACAGTGCAGGAAATTGGACAAGAATAAATATCATTCAGAGGTTTCGTTACCCATCTGTTGTGAGTTACTATGTGAGCCCAATTTATATTATCATACTGTTATGAGGCCATTTCTCATTGCCCTTGAAATCCATCGAGGGCAAAACTTAAACTCACTCCTTGGTGTTTTTGCATTGCAAATTAAAAGCTGTTTGTTTTGTTCCGATTATCTCTAGCAAATCGTATCTTTAAGTGCTAGAAAAGTCTATGGCCATAAGAGGTTAGCCTTGTTAAAAATAAACAAAAACGATATCATGGATGACTACTTAATTTCTTTAAATAGGAAAGCTTTTTTGGTCAGACTTGACATTTCAAAATCACAGTAAACTTCTATCATATATTTAAAGTGATTCATTCAAGCAAAAGATATTCTGTACAGCAGTAATTCCCAGGAAAAGTGAAAGTATTCCCAGGAAAAGTGAAAGTAAAATCATAAACATTTTGTCCTTGTAAAGTCCTCAGATACCTGGTTCCTCTCGTACATAAGAATCTACTCAATGGTTTGTCATGCGTTCTTCTTCTTTTATTAAAAGAGCATGTGTTTAGGATGCCGGGCATGCTGCTGAGAGAGGCTTGCTTCTCCTCTGAGCGGAGGAGGTGGGAATCCCCTCCATATGAGAGCATTTCATACCTGAGTATCAGGGCTAGCGGCCATCGTGGACAGGAGTGACAGTACCTCGGGTACAAAATGGCCATCCATCGTGTTTCTGACCGGCCACTGCTCTGTCTTGCACGCAGGCAGGAAGAGGGTTTTGTTTTTTTTTTAAAGTCATTACATTCCTAACTCATTATTCCTATTCTTATATGAAGGGATTCAAAGCTCTAAAATGCGATTTTCTGGCCTTCTAGGTCCCGTTGTGACACAGGACATTACCACGTATCACACGGTGTTTCTTTTGGCCATTTTAGGAGGAATGGCTTTCATTCTTTTGGTTTTGCTGTGTCTCCTTTTATATTATTGCAGGTAAAGTGTTACCATTTGGGCGATGTATTTGTTTAATGTAGAATTTCTTATGCAATTGGTATTTGGAAATGTTTTTTTCCTTCTTTCTTTTTCCCCCTAAACTATTTTAGTTTAACTCATGAAAGATCACCTAGGACTCAGACATGTAATCTAAGTTGCAAATGACCCCACGGGTTATGTAAAGTTGCAGCTATTGTTAAAGGGCTTGTAAGAGCTTAGGTGCTGGAGAGATGCCTCAGGAAGTAAGAGCTCCTTCTATGTCAGCATGAGGGCCTACCTTCAGATCTCTAGCACCCATGTGGGAAGGGGAGAACAGCCACTCACACCTGTCGGTAGCCCTGGTGCTGTAGGCGACCCAGACAAGAAGACTTGTTGGCTGCCAGCCTCCCTCCAAGTTCAAGAGAGGTCCTAGAAAAAGACAGACAGTGATAGAGAACGTCAAACATTCTCCTCCATCCTACACGTTTGCACTGTGCATATGCCATATACGCACACATATACATGCACATGTATACACACATACACACAAGCTTAACAAGAGCTGGGATATAGCTCAGTTAGTAAAGTATTTACTGTACAAGCATGAGAACCTGACTTGGCACTTCAGAAGCCACATACAAAAAGGAGATGCAGTGGCCCGTGCCGTATGTAATCCCAGCACTGGAGAGGCAGAAACTGTGTGTGTCTTTAGGGCTCACTGACCAGCAGCCTAGCCTACTTGATGAACTCTAGGTTAAATGAGAAAGCCTGACTCAAATAATAAAGTAGCTGATACCCAACATTGATCTCTGACCTACAGAGAGAGGCATGCACACAAGCACACACATGC